CCAGAGTGCCATCTGTCTTGCCATCCGGTGGCTTACGACCCTTATAATCTAGTTTTTATTCGATCTTAAGCAACCAAGTCCTAACCGCCATGCACTTCTTCAATGTTCTTCTATTTAATTTTCATTGGATGGCAACGCTTTGCTGTTCTCATTACGCATCCGAGTAACAGCTCCTGCGTAAGAGAAAACCATCCATTACGGTTAGTGAAAACAGCAGGGCCGCTGGGCCACATTATTTGGTACAAAAAGAAATCGGCTATTAGTCAGAATTGCGCAGCTGGAGCAGTAGATCCCCCGATCGTAACCACATTTTATAGATTTCTGTAGAAGCTCAAAAAACCTCTCACAAATGTCTATCCAGCTTAAAGTTGTTTAGCTAGTTAAGAAGTTCTGATTAATTTTGTTTGCCTTTATAAAGCAATCCTCGCACGTTGAGCTCACCTGGAAAGAGAGTAGGAAGTAAACGCCGTCAGATGATTTCTTGCAGTAATTCACTTTACCTGGTGATTACTAAGTGTTTGGTTGACACTGAAGGTCATATTTTAATACGAAAGGTATGTCGTCGTAACCGAAGACTTTATATCTAGAGAACTTAACCTATTAGCCACACCTTCGGACAGATTTGTCGTAAAACTCTAACGACTCTCTTTCTGAATGACTTAAGTCGGAGACAAGAATTCCTGAGGGAAACTGAAATTCCGACCAGAGTAGGTCCAAGTTGTTGCACAGACTTGCCACATTTGATTACGTTAGCATGTGGACAAACCTTCAAATCAAGGGATCCTTCCCTTGGGGTGCACAGGCAATTCAGGCTTAGAATCATCCGAATTAAGAACTCTTTTTGACACAGAAGTCAGGTCGCGGTAAGGGGGGGTGGGGGAGGGAACATATTCTCTGACCCCCTTTCAGCCGCGCCATTGCTTTACTTAAGAATGCGTTCCTTTGTCTTGACTTTCTTAGCAAAGCTAGATTGTCTCTCAGGGCAAGCTGCAGGTGCACGTTATAGAAAAGCTCCTACGGTGGAGAAAGTGAATTAAACGATGTCTTTAGGTAACTATTCATTGAACACAAAATACCCAAGTATAGATAAGTACAATATATTTCTGTTACTCTTTCTTAAATACTGTCAAGGTGAATTCCTTGGTTCTATTTTCGGCGTAAATGAATCGTCCCAGGCTAAAATACAGGGCTCAGAGATCTCAACCCCCGCTATTAAGGTCCCAATCAGGATTGAGGATGTTGAAGTTCTCATGGAAGTGGATACTGGGACAGCAGCGTCTGTTATGAGTTATGCGGATTACGAGCGGAACTTCAAATACCTAGCACTACGACCAGTCAATCGCTCGTTCCATGCCTTCACCGGCACACCTCTTGACGTTGCAGGGCAAGTCCTAGTTGACGTGGCCTATAATGGCCAGCAGATGACTCTGCCGTTACTCATTGTTCAGGCTAAGTGGCATACCCCTCCACTGTTTGGCAGGGTGTGGATGATGAAGATCCCCTTAGACTGGCACAACTTGTTTTTGCCCTCGCATGGCCAACTAGCGGTGGGGCAGGAAAATGACGAGCGAATTGAGCACCTAAAGGAGCGATATGCAGAAATACTTAAGGTAGAACTTGGTACGGTAAAAGGGGTAACAGCCACCTTGCATTTGAAAGAAAACGCGAAACCAGTGTTTCAGAGAGCCTGCCCAGTTCCCTACACAATACGGCCGACAGTGGAGAAAGAATTGAAGAGAATGGAAGAGGAGGGGATCATAGAGCCAGTAGAGGTCAGTGAATGGGCCACACCCACTGTCAGCGTTCCTAAGACCGATGGGTCGGTACAAGTTTGTGGGGACTACAAGGGTACAGTTAATCCCACAATTCAGAGGGAACAATTCCCTATTCCAACGTTGGACGAGATTCGTGGAAAAGTTTCTACATGGAAGGAGTTCACCAAGATCAATCTGAGAAGCGCCTATCAACAATTGGTGTTGGATAAGGCCTCTCAACAGCTATGCACGATCAATACACACAAGGAAATCAGTCATGCGACATGGGTAGACCCTGTGCTGTCCAAGGTGCTGGGACTTGTGAGACATGGTTGGCCTCAGCACACTGACGACTTGCGCCTAAAACCTTTCTTTAATCGTCGTTTCAAATTGTCTATCGAGCAGGATTGTTTGCTGTGGGGAGTACAGGTTATCATTCCTACATGGTACCAGAATGATATGTTGGAGGAACTACATACAGGGCACCCCGGCATCGTCCGTATGAAAGAGTTAGCTCGTAGCTATATATGGTGGCCTAACATTGATCTGGAAATTGAGCAGACGGTGAGAAGCTGTGGTAGTTGCCAGCGGGTTC